TGAGTAAAAAGCTGCGGGTCGATTTCAACAAAATTATGTCGTTTTAATTGAACAATGGACTCCGGATTGTTGTCCCAAATCTACCGTTTTTATGCTTGGTGTTGTTAGACTGCGTTTGCACAGCGACGTGTTTTCACAACGACGCACACCGCTCGAGTCGATGATTCGGTCGTGCAAACGACCTGCTATACAGAATTTCAGGGAAACTTAAGTCACCACCGATATTTTACCGTAAATTTCATGCGAGTTTGTAGCGCTCATCATGCGGTGTGAATACATTTGGGCAAGATTTTCTATCTGCCCACAGATGCATGAACTGAAACCATTTTTTTACGTAGTGAACATAGTGCTTTTCCTTTATTTTGGGAAGTGGCGATGGTGCATTTATCACAGTACAATCACTTGAGAGTTCAGAAATTGGGGAGGGTGACCAAGCTTTCCGAACATTGTCTCTTTCCTCTCTGGCACTGCCCCAAGTTGCAGTTTCAGTAGGCATACCTACTAGCAGGTACAAACTGCTCTAAAGCAGGTAAAAGACTGGGAAGTCATGAAGGTGCGGACTCCGTGTTTCGCAAGACGACTGGGGAAGTTCTTTTGCGAGGTATGCGGAATATGCAAACGATTTTGTTATGCCCGTCGTTTGCGTCTCTCCAGCAAAACGAATAAGATGATCTACAAAGGCGTAATCACAAGCTAAGATTTACTATACAGTACATATTCAACTCAAACAACTTTATGTAAAACGGTTCGTAAGCCTAGAAAAAATGATATGTCGTCTAAAGCAGAATTCGGACGTCCGAAATCTTCTGCGGACAGATGTTACGTAATAACCTGGCTCTGCTCGGTTTTTTACGTAACAGCTGTGTCTCAGTCGCGGACGTTCGGTGCACCCGGTGCGAATCCCGAAGGCCTCCGGAGCGAATGACGAAAGCATACCATGACTCGTTTGTCGCTACGCGAAGTCCCGATTGCCTGCAGCCAAATAGCATTCAGCTTGTGACCTTTCGGGGCGACAGAGCTGCTGGAAGACTCGCTGTCGCGATTACTGATTTCGCAGCACTTAGCAACGGCAACACTTTACAGGAGCTGACATCTCCAAAAAACAGGCATTTGCACGCGCAAAAAAAAAAAACACGAAAAAAATCACGCTAAGAAAGCAAAGAGGAGAACAAAAGTAACAAACCGCGCTGTGAAAGCCAAATCCCCGCGTCGCTTCCTATCACTAACACTGGTGACAACTGCTAAACACGCACTACTTCACTTCAGGAAGGCTCCCTCAAGCACCTGGGTCAACATGAAACACTGATCACTTCCGCGAAACGACTAGTCGAGGTAGGCGAGACAGGCGGGAGCAGACCCATCGGCGGCCATGATAGAATGATGAAGCTTTTGTTTGTTATGATATAAATCCAAACGGAATTAGGTGTCCGTCTTGTAAACATTTTGTAAAAAATAATAACTCTCATTACATGGGTTATTTTTTAAACGTAAAAAATATGCCGCTCAAAAGGAAATAACAACATATAACAAAGGTTTAACAACCAAGATCTAAGTTGTCAATCAAACTCTTAGCCAATGAGAAGTATAGCAGCCAACGGGTGCTAAACGTCACGGAACACCAACTTCGTGGCGCGCGATTGAAAACGGACGAAATAGCCGCAAACTAAAATCAGTCTCACGCAATAAATATTACTGTAATTTTTTTTTGCTCGCGGAAAATTTTTTCTTTTTTTACATCTTTGACACAATTAAGCTGTTTAAAAAAAATATTTTTTTCTTTGCAGTTACTCTTTAACACAGATCCCAATATCCTCACTTGAATAAAATCATTCCTAACGATTCACTTCCAATTTGTTCGTACTAATGGCACTAATTCTTCGCCCTTACTTGTCAACTCCGGTGTCTCTCAGGGCTCTGTGCTCGGACCACTCTTATTTTTTATTTCTATCAATGACCTTCCTGTGCATGTTTCTTTCTCTATTAGTCTATTCGCTGACGATTGTGTGATTTATAAAGAGATAGTTAACGACTCTGACCTTTCCGCCTTCCAGGTTGATTTTAAACATCTGCCAATGGTGTAAGGAATCGCTCATGGAGCTTAACATCACTAAATGCGCATCTATTAGAGAATCTTGTCATAACAACAGTTGTCCTTCCTACTATATCAACAATTATAATCCAGTTACTGTCTCCTCCTATAACTATCTCCGCATTTACAAACCAACGACTCTCCTGGAATATCCACGTCCAATATGGAATTAACAACGCAAATCGACTTTTGGGCTATCTAAAACGTAGCTTTTCGCTTGCTCCCTTTTCGTTAAAACTTCTTCTTTATAAAACTCTAGTTCGTCCTAAACTTGAATATGCAGCTTCTACTTGAAACCCCGGTATCACCCTTGCATCAGATGTCGAGTCTGTTGAGAATCGTTCTGCCCGTTTCATACTTTCGAAGTATCATCGCACAGCCAGTGTAACTTCCATAAAATTGACCCTTTCCTTGCCTGATATCTCTTTCCGACGAAAAATATCTCGTCTATGTTTATATCACAACATTTATTACTCTAACCGCGCTCTCCGTCAACTATTGTTTTTAGAACCATCGTACATATCATCATGTGTAGACCATAACCTAAAGGTAGGGACTCCCCATTGCCTCACCTCCACTTTTAATGCGTCTTTTTACTCCGGACCTCCATTGATTGGAATCGCCTTCCCGCACATATAGTCTCAATAACTAACACTGTTGATTTTAAAAATGCCGTTACCAACTTTTGAACATATGTTGCGTAGCCTGTGTTATTTTTTCTTTTTTTTTGCCTCACTTCCCTATGTTACTTTTATGTGTTTTGAGTAACCGCACACTCCCCTCTACAATGCCTTCGGGCCCTGAGGCAGTGTTGCACACGTTCCTCAAAAAAAAAAAAAAAAGGAACAAAAACTCGTTCCTCCTTTCTTCTGAATTTTGGAACGCGTTCCCGTTACAAGTTTCATCTATGAGAAAGAAACTCGTTCCCGTTACAGTTTAAAAAATGGAACGTTTCGTTACATATACGTTAAATTTGTATTTTTCCAATTACCATATCTGGTTAGATCAAGCAAAGTTTTCTTTCTTTCTTTTTTTTATCTATCCCATCAAATGGAAACACACGAATTTATATGTCGTGATGGAAGGGCATCAGGAGAAAAAAACCAGCGGAATCAATGTTTTATTTGCCGATATATTCAAGTTTAAAAATCTCATCTTTTAACCAGATTCATGTTTGTGGTGAACGATTCAGACAAGCCAAATCTACTGTTACATTTCACGAGCGTTTTACAACAACCTCACACGTTTCAATCTAACAAAGTCCCTTGTTCGAACTTAACAGCAGTTGCTCCTCAATGTTGCTCTCCGCAAGACGAACAAGTGAAGGAGAGGGTATGCTTTTGGAAGGTCAGTCTTGAAAACTACAAGTAGATCTTTGTGAAGGTTGGATTCGTTGTTCAGTTTGAAGGTGGGAGACAAAGGGAGAGGAAATAAAGGTTAATTTTTGTCTGTCGTTTAAGTGACCAATGTTCGGGATACAAAAGTGCGTTCGATGTCTGGTAACCTGTGATTTTGTTGTAACTGTAGGTCTCTTTATGAAAGTTCAGAAATGGCTGTAGTCGGCCTTAGATTTCTGGGTGTATGAGGATTCATGGAAGAAAATAACGTAGCTTAGTTTGAAACGCCCCTTTTTGTGTCTTCGTGCGACTAAACGTTTTGCTTTTTGTACCGCAGTCTCGGGCACTCAAAAAAAAAAAAAAAGACAAAAACGTTGATGTCCACTAACTTTCCAGCAACGGATTGCTACTAAGCGAGGACCACACAATATAAATCCTAAGATAAGACACCAAAACGTGAACGAGTTAAAAACGATATTTTCGTAATGATGTAACTTTTATACTTTTAAAATTTCCCTCGTAAAAATAGAATAAAAATGACCCCACTAAACGAAATAAGGAACACCGTTACTCTGTCCGTTCCAGTAAAAATGTAAACAGTTCCCGTTCCAGTTCCACCGATTTAAAATGGAACGGCGGCGTTCCTTCGTTCCTCCTAAAAAGGAACGCGTTCCGGAAACGCCGTTCCTTGGAACGCCGTTCCGTACAACCCTGCCCTGAGGGAATAATAAATGAATTGAAATGTTACTGGAAGTTCCAAGGGACGTAATACGAGCCAGATACATCAGATGCAAGACGAATGAGCACAAAAGTGGTCTGACTCAAAATTGAATGCTTCCTTTTAATTGCTGCGCCATTTATGAAGCCTTTTCTAGACTAATTAAATCCCCAAATGAAACTACAACGTCATTCTGCCTCTGTGCCCTAAAGGCGTTTCTTAGCGGTTTTCGAAGATTAGCGACTGGGTTTTCATATTGTTGAGTTGGCAACACTGGTCTATATGCTCTTCGTCAAATTCGTTGGCTGCTGTCGAAACCGGCGTTGCTTCCGCAGTGTTAGTAGCCCCTCGCGGCTAAAAGATCACGTGGCTTAGTACTGTATCTCGTTCAAACACGCTGTCGTATGCAGGAGCTTCGAGAGCGCTGGAGCACCCCAGAAGCTACACTAGCATTAACGATATACAAGCAGAAAATAGTTGACGCAGAGTAAAATATTGTTTCGTCTTTTTTTTTCTAGTTATTGTAGTTCTTTGGCTAGATCCAGTTTGCTGCACTGTGATCGCCTGATAGTAAAGCCGTAGTCAAACTGCTCAATCATCATGCATAAGACCCGGTGTTCGATGCAAAGACGATGCCTGAATTACCTACAGACACACTTCACGCATATCCGAATCATGTTGGCTTCATGCATGCTTCGAACATCACAAATGTTTTGTATGGTCAGTGTGACAATGTGTCTGCAGACAGTCTTTTGTTCGTTCTATAAGCAGTTTGACGCGGCTTAAGCGTTATAGCAGCCGCAGTTCAATGCGGCTTCATTCAACCCATCCGAAATATAAAATCGCAACTCCATACCAGCTTTCGACAGCCAGCCAAGTTCTGAAGCTCGCAGGGATCCTTGACCACGTCGAACAGGTGTGGCGTGTCCTCCGTTCTGAATTTGTCTTTGCGGTCTCCGCAGTGAATTTTCGCCTTCCCGCGCCATTCCGTCGGCAGCGACCACCCCGCCCTGTTCGCGTAAAACGTCTTCAGTGCCTTCCCTGCGCGCGACTCGAGCATCAGCCTGTCCAGGTCGACGCGCGGAGGCAGGTTCCCGGGGGTGGGCAGGCGCTGGTCGTAAGTCCCGTTCTTGTAGCTGTTGACGACCAGCTTGAAGTCGCCGCTCCGGAGGGCCGCCGTTCCGTCGACCGAGTCGAAGTTGATCAGCGTCTCGCGGCGGGGGGACGGAAGGTCTTGGGAAAAGTGCCTCCCACATGTCCAACCCGTCGATGACACCGAGGTCCGCAATATTTCCTCCTGCATGTGGATGGTCGTATGTAGATATGAATCATCTCTGGTAACCATCTACGTGGGTTAGTTTTTTTTTTCTTTTGTTGTCAACATTAGTTTACGATGACAGCTAGTGCACTTTCAAAAGCTTTTACATGTCTATGGTGCTCTAGGGCCGTGAGGTAATACCACTTGAGCACGGTATCGTCGACCTATTAATTGCGGGGCAGTATCAACTCCAGAGCTCAGGAGAGTGTGAGCGTGCGTGATGAACGTTCTTGCACGCATGGAGCTCAAGGTAAAAGCACGTCGGGTGAGCAAATATGTCCCCCAGTTTACCCAAGTTATAAGAATGATCGAATTAAGATTGACAGCCAATCTCTCTGAAGGAAATTATTCCTCGCGAATAAAATGTACACGATGTGCACACACCCTCCCCCCCCCCCCCCCCCCCCAAGCAAAAAATTAACAAACAAACAAAGTATACATATTTCGAGTATTCCAAACCGATCTTCCGCTGTGAAACGAGCCGGGAAAATTGGCGAGTGCATATAAAAAATTTAAGCTTTCACCGAATGTGCACGCAATCTGTCATGCAGTTTTCACATGTGGTTATTGAATACAAAAGTTTTCTTCCTGTAAAATAATGAGAGCACAAAACTTTCCGAAGGGTGGGCGCGTTCGCAGACGTCTCAGTTGGCTACTCTTTTTACTTGTGGCTCAATCTCCCAATAGGCGCGGCGAGCAGACAACATAGTGAGTCGTCTGCTCGCTACGCCGATCCGGAGACGCTGCCACAAGTCAATAGCGTCGGTAACTCGGTTGTCTGCAAACGCGCTCAATCTTTACTTAGATTTTTGCTCGGATTTTTTGCAAAGAGGAACTGCGCTTACAAATTTTACAGGGGTGAAACTTTCCTCTTCAGTGCACATTCGGTGAAAGTTTGAGCTTTCTAAATGCAGGCTTCGATCTTTCCGGCTCGTGTTAGAGCCAGACGTTTCGTTTCCACACATATAATCTGCGGGACAGTTGGCGCAACTACGTGAACACAACTGCCGCTTTTGGTTCGCCCAGGTCATTCAGCTTAGAGCAGTGATTGGAACCTTGTGGCAATCGACAACGCCGCATGACGATTCGTTCCAGTTGGGTTGCTATCGATAGCCAAATCTGCTTTAAAGGGGGACCTGCAGAAATATTCTTCCGCCTGGCGAAAAACCCTCCTCTCCCTCTGTTTTGCCCTTTCCCTCTTTTCTAGCTGGACGGCGATGTAGGGGGGAAGGTCCCCTTTTTGTACCGGCGTCTTCTGAGACGATAAGCCTAGAAACGAGCAAGCTTTTTGGCCCCTCGCAAAGCCTGGCCCCCTCCGGGTGAATGTTTTACGGAGCTGGAAGGCTGCGCCCTGGCAGTCACCCACCCGAGGTGGCAGAGTAAAGGCCTACTGGATAGCTGCGATGTATCCCCATTCCCGTTGAACGTACTTTTTATACTTATTCTTGGTTTCTCAAATGAAGAGTGCAGAACGCATGCACGAGGTGTGGTGGTTACAATATGCGAGCATGATTTACATGTTCACAAAACATTCAGCATCCTCAAAAAGACAACCCATCACGCTCAAACCTGCCTCAAATGGAGAACGATGTAAAAGATAAATGTGTACCAGGGGCGGGGATCTAGTAGCGGGTTTCTCTTTTCGTATAGAGCGTACAAATTATTGTGTGCCTAACTCGCAGGATATCATGGCCAACGAAATGTGGATGAAATTTATAGTTACAGATCCCAGCAACCACATGAGTTGTAAGGGCAGCGAAGGTGAGTGTCAATATCAGGAAATTTTAGTGGATCGTTTTTAGCTCCCTGTTAGGGTACTTCACAACGCTAGCCTTGCTGTGAACATTCTTTATCAAGCGCGGCTATCGGAGTGGGAAACGCAATATAAAACCAATATTGGGTAGTTTAGCTTGTCGTGTTATCGTTCAACGTCGCATGTATTGGTGCTACAGCATGGGCTGCTACTTCAAATAATTATTTGGAGTCTTCAAAAATATAGAGGAAGAGCAGCTCATATTTTAATACGACACAGGATTTTAATTTGACATTTTAAAAACGTGGATACACTGCGCCACGAATTTAGCACGAACAACCTATCGGTGATTCTCCTCGTTCTTTTTTTCCTGTGAGAAGTGGATGATATTTAGACAACTGTTAATGCGAGTATCCAACCTAAGCGGTAGATTTTAGAACTAGCCAATACATAGCTGGGGAAAAAAGTGAAATTCGCTGATGTCGAGTTCGTTCTAACAGTGCTGTGTAACGTTCGCATACTGCTGCAAGATCAGTAGAAGCAGCGTAAGTCAAACAATTAATTAGGCAAAAAAAAAAAAAACGTTTTAGGTAGGTTTTTTTTACAGCTCTAAATTTGTCATTTCTGTAAAAGCGGTGTGGCAAAAAGTGCTGCCATTGGGAACCAACTTACATGGCATCAATTTGTTGTACACTAAATTCTGCATGACCCTTGCATTAAAATGTCAATTTTGTGTTTGGGCTGGCTGTGTCACGCAGAGCAAGAGAAAATTCTATTCCCCGAATATTTAAACGAAACCTCCACAACGCCAAATAAAATTTCTGAGAGTACGCTCAATTTCTGCTGATTTAGAATAGTAACTACGTCTGGTGATTTCACCTTCCTTGCCAAATTTCTTGTATAAAAATAAATTGCCCCAATAAGAATGAAAAAAACTATTTTCTTTGTACAATAAACTCATTGATTTACACTGATCATGTAGAGGTATGTAAATCATGTAAATCATGCTCAAATATTCAAACCATCATATCTCGCACGTGCGTTCTGCACTCCTTATTTCGGAAACCAAGAATAAGTATGAAAAGTACGTTCAATCGGGGGTGGGGTGCATCGCAACTCTCAAAGTAAGCGTTTGCAACAGGCTACAGCCGAAATCTTTGCCACAGGCTACAGCCAAAAAACTTCCACAGATCAAATGGGTGACTGCCAAGGTGCAGCCTTCCAGCTTCGTAAAACATTCACCCTGAGGGCTAGGCTTAGCGAGGGGACAAAAAGCCTGCTGCAAATTATGGGGTTTTCTAGGCTTACTCTCTAAGAAGAAGCGGATACAAAAGGGGTCCTTCCTCCCCTCCTCGCCATGCAGCAAGACAAGAGGGAAAGGGCAAAAGAGAAAGAGAGAGAGGAGGACTTTCTGCCATGCAGAAGAATATTTCTGCAGGTTCCCCTTTAAGGCACCATTCCATTTAGCGCTCTCTGGGCGGCACCATTTTGTTCGCCCGCAGCGCCCTCTCCACACATCCGGGAAGTTCAGCGGGTTCGGCGGGGTAAAACGAGGGAGAGGGCACGCGCCAGACTCCGCTAGCAGACGACAAACCGGGAGGTTGCCTTTCTCCATCTTTGGGCTGTATCGGCGGGCTCTACCGAACATCGAACTCTCGCTCGTGGCTGCCGTTGTGGAGTGGTACGCGTTCTTAGAATAGTTGTGGCTACTCCAAAATCAGCCTATAGCTCTCTGTTGTTCTATTTTGCGAAATGATCAACTAGCATATCTTTTTTCCGTTACTTAAATAGCAGTTGAGTCAGCCGGCAGTACTACCCTCAACTATTGCGTGTATTGCGGCAGGAGAGCACGTTTTATTTATTATTTCAGACTTCCACTCATGGTCGCTAAAGGCCTACACCCAGTACGAACTTTGTACAATAAAAAAATACAGCAACCGGATTTACTTTTCGCCAAAGAGATCGGCCAATCTGACACAGTTTTCCCTATTTTTTCTTTTATTTGCACGCTGGTAACAGCGCAATCGGACCTTGTGAGTCTCTTTATCTAGCATAATATTACACGACAACTGGCACACCAAAATCTGCGCATCTGCGCTAGAAAGTTCCAAAATGACGTGATTTTAAACAGAGTTTGCACGCCAGCCGGACGCTAGCTACAGCCCACTCGGCGGAGCGCACGGCACGCGGGGTGAGAGGGGGAGTGCATTTTTTTCTCCTTTACCCTCTCTGCTATGACCCTAATGGAACGGTCTATACACCAACTCATGTTTACAAACAAACCGGAGCGCCCCTAGCGGACGCCACCGGCGCCGCGCATGCGCGATGGGGGTGTGGGCAAGAAGCCCGCCGTCGCCCATAAACAAACCATTGAAATGCGATGTTGTCGGCGTCGGTGTAAGTCCCCCTGCTTTTTTTCGCATTCGAATTGTTGATTCTACGTCTTCCTGGCGATGTCTGACTACTTGAGCGGCGTCAGCGAAATTACCGAGGCTCGTTACACCGCGAAACTTCGCGTGAATAATGTGACATGTGGCGATTCATTCCGCGTGGACGCCGCAGTATGTACGCTAAAACCTGATTCGCATGATGAGATTTCACTCGCAATTTTCAGTCGCGACGCCGCTCGGGCTGCAAAAGCGTGAGCCGTAGCTGAGATAGTCGACGTCGGTACAGAAAATCGCAAGCAGAATCGGACCAATTCAATTAGGCATAGCAAGTCAGTGATGGTCACTCGTAACAATCATCAACATCCGCTTGTATTTACTGTTTACATCCAGCCTGGTTACCAACCTTCAAACTTAAGTCTTTTGAGACCTGCGCTTACTTCGTATAGCAAGTACCGGGCCAACGTTTAATCTACGGGCCGGCGTCGTCTAAGAGAGCAGACGACAAGCAGAAACGTTTGAAAGAGCAGACGACAGTTCGAACGATCAGGCGGCCGTTTGAACTTGAAGACGCACTGAACGTAGTCCGCAGGTGGTCCGCACAACTTGATGGTTTCCAGGCGTTCATGTTGGAATAAAACAAATAAATCTGATGACCACAAGTATCCGTGAATTTAACTCAGAGTGCTTCCCGCCCAAGCAATCGTTGTCCGACGGCGTCTGCTTTTCCCTTTTCACGGCACATATCCAGATTTTCGGACGAACCGAGCACGTGAAAACTGACCTTCAAACGTTTCTCGTCTCTTTTGGTACGGCCCCAGTCCCGGCGTTTTGACGAG